GCCTGGCCAACATGGCAAAATCCTGTCTCTACTAAAAATACAAAAATCGGCGGGGTGTGGTGGCACATGCCTGGAATCCCCATAACTCAGGAAGCTAAGGAACAAGAATCACTTCAATCTTGGAGGTAGAGATTGCAGTGAACTGAGATCATGCCATTGCACTACAGCCTGGACAACAGAGCTATACTGTGTCTCAAAAATACTAAAAAATTAGGAAGCTAGGTTGGGAACAGTGGCTCACGCCTGTAATCCCAGTACTTTCAGAGGCTGAAGCCAGGGGATCACTTGAGCCCAGGAGTTTCAGACCAGCCTGGGCAACGTGGCAAAACCCAGTCTCTACAAAAAACACAAAAAATTAGCCAGGTGTGGTGGCATGCGCCTGTAGCCAGGAGAATGAGGTGGGAGGATCACATGATCCCAGGAAGTGGTCAAGACTGCAGTGAGCCATGATCATGTCACTGCACTCCAGCCTGGGCAAGAGTGAGACCTTGTTTTTTTAAAAAAAGTAAAAGCACCCGATGGAAACCAATAGACAGGTAAATGTTATTATTTTGCAAAGTCCACAAAAACTGAAAGAATAAACACAGTAATAGATTTAAAATGTAAAACATATGAATGAACAAGTTAAAGATAATTATCACACTATGGTGAAAATGTTCACTCTCACAAGTACTCAATATAATGACAATAAAGCAGTCCAATATACCAAGAAATCACTGTAACATTTATATAACTTTGCATTAAAGTTACATAAGGGAGAAAATGTCCATATTTTTTAAGAATTACATAATGAGGCCGGGCGCGGTGGCTCAAGCCTGTAATCCCAGCACTTTGGGAGGCCGAGGCGGGTGGATCACGAGGTCAAGAGATCGAGACCATCCTGGTCAACACGGTGAAACCCCGTCTCTACTAAAAATACAAAACATTAGCTGGGCATGGTGGCGCGTGCCTGTAATCCCAGCTATGCAGGAAGCTGAGGCAGGAGAATTGCCTGAACCCAGGAGGCGGAGGTTGCGGTGAGCCGAGATCGCGCCATTGCACTCCAGCCTGGGTAACGAGAGCGAAACTCCGTCCCAAAAAAAAAAAAAAAAAAAAAAAGAATTACATAATGAAATTATGCAAGGGCAAAATGACATGAAGTTTTGGATTTCTTTGAAAATATTTGCTGCTGGATGCAGCAAATATTTTCAAACACCTGTAATCCCCACACTTTGGAAGGCCAAGGCAGGTGAATGACCTGGTCAGGAGCTCAACACCAGCCTGGCCAACATGGTGAAACCCTGTCTCTACTAAAAATACAAAAAAAATTAGCCAGGCATGGTGGTGGGCACCTGTAATCCCAGCTACTCTGGAAGCTGAGGCAAGAGAATTGCTTGAACCCAGGTGGCAAAGGTTGCAGTGAGCCAAGATCGTGCCATTGCACTCCAGCCTGGCTAAAAATAACAAAACTCCATTTCAAAAACAAAACAAAAAAAAGAAAATATTTGCATGACAATAGGGGTAGATGAGTGGCACGTATTTGTGAAAATTTTCACAATGAAAAACAACATTCTATGACTTGTCAAATAAATGAGGCAAAACATTTATTTAAAATAAAAATTAACCATTCTTAAAAAGCACAATGAAGAATACTACCAAACACATTGTGAGTGTCTGAAACCTTCAGAAATACCTTGTGTCTGAAAATCTATCCTTGTGTCTGAAAAGCAAATACAGAAAAATTTATATGTATAAAGTTGTGCTTTTACATAAAGAATGCATGTAGGCATAAAGAATGGTGCTTTTACAAACAAGCATTGATTAGAAAACAGCCTAAATATGAAAGTATAAATACTTGAACTGCACTAAAGGAAAAAACACAGAATTATATGAGAACATGTACGTAGAAACTGTTACCTACCTATCTAATCTTCACAGTCATATCTTCTTGGTACTCTTCTTCCTGAGTTTACCTTCTATCCTGCTGTGTGCTCAGCCTACATTTCCTTGCCATATGTTCTCCTGCTGTAAACCTCTGGGTATTAGGGTGCTTCTAGTTTCTGTCCTTGCTATATTTATTCTGGTATTTCATCCAGTCAGAAAACTCTGTATCTCTATATTGAAGCCTCTCTAAATTTCCCTCCAATGCTGATCTGACCTCGCAGTTCCAGACTTCTATACTGAACTGCCTGCATGACATCTATGCTGTGTCCAATAAGCACCAGAAATTTAACATAAGCAAACCCACCCTTGACTTTGCAACCCCCAAATCTACTCGTTCCCCATTTCAGTAATTACAAAGCCCATTCTTTCACAGGCTTTCCCTAAAAAGCATGACTTCTTTTTTTCTCTTATATTCCAAGACTGGATCCTGGTAACTCTTCCTTGAAAAGATTTCAAGCCACCACTTCCTTCCACTGCCACTGATAACATCTCAGTAGTCTCTGAGCCATCAATGTATCTCAACCAGTCTACTACACAAACCTGCTAAACAGCCACTCTGCTTCTAACCTTGCCTCCTACTAAGCAGGTAGGGTAATCCTTTTAAAACATATATTGCATCAAAGTTAGGTGCAGTGGCTCAGCCTGTAATCCTAGCACATTGGGAGGCCAAGGTGGGAGGATCACTTGAGGTCAGGATTTCCAGACCAGCCTGGCCAACATGGTGAAACACTGTCTCTACTAAAATACAAAAATTAGTCAGGCGTAGTGGTGGGTGCCTGTAATCCCAGATACTTGGGAGGCTGACACCCGAGAATCACTTGAATCCAGGAGGCAGAGGTTGCTGTGAGCCAAGATCATGCCACTGCACTCCAGCCTGGGCGACACAGCAAGACTCCATCTCAAACAAAAACAAAACAAAAACGTAAGCTGCATCAAGCCATTTCTAGGTGTCACAGCCTTCTAATAACTTCTCTTAGAATGAAAAGATTTCCCATGGCCTGTGTGGCAGACAGTATATAAACTGACCCACTCTTTCCCACTCCTGCCTCTTTGATCTCATCTCCCACCCACGTACCCCTCTGCTCTCACTGCTCCAGTCACTGGCCTCTGGGGCTGCTCCTCAAACACAGCCAACACATAGCTGTCTTGCCCTTGAAGGTCTGGCTTCCTCTATCTGGAGCGGGCTTCCTCCCAGTACCTACAATGACTTAATATTGTGCTTCTTCGAGTCTCTGCCCAAATATTACCATATCATTTGGTAAGATATGGCAAATTTCTCTTGCCTCTTCACATAAAATAGCATCCTTTATCCCCTTCCTCTACTTCATGTTTCTTTTGAGTATTTACTATTACCTTATATGTCATATATTCATCTATTTTCATATCTGTCCCTACACTGGGGGAATAAAGATTGTGCTTGTTCTTTTTTTTTTTTTTTTTTTTTTTTGAGACGGAGTTTCACTCATGTTACCCAGGCTGGAGTGCAATGGCGCAATCTCGGCTCACCGCAACCTCTGCCTCCTGGGTTCAGGCAATTCTCCTGCCTCAGCCTCCTGAGTAGCTGGGATTACAGGCACGCACCACCATGCCCAGCTATCTTTTTTTTTCTTTTTTTGAGATGGAGTCTCTGTCGCTCAGCCTAGAGTGCAGTGGCGTGATCTCAGCCCAGCGCAACCTCTGCCTCCCGGGTTCAAGTGATTCTCCTGCCTCAGCCTCCTCAGTAGCTGGGACTACAGGCCCATGCCACCACACTGACTGATTTTTGTATTTTTGATAGAGATGGAGTTTCATCATGTTGGCCAAGCTGGTCTTGAACTCCTGACCTCAGGCGATCCACCCACCTCAGCCTCCCAAAGTGCTGGGATTATAGGCATGAGCCACCATGCCTGATCACATGTGTTCTAGTCATTACTGTAACCTCAGTGTTGAGAATAGTGCTGGGCATACCATAGGCACTCCAGAAACATAAACTAAATGAATGAATGTGCTGTCCTGTTCCTCCTCCTTCAGACCAAATCTCTCTTTGCCACTTCTGAGTTTTCCATGGAGACACACGCCCTTTATTTCCAACACTATCTAAAGTCAACGATGCTCATGCCCAAATCTTCCCCTATGACTTCTATGTGGATCAACCCCTCTTCTACTTCGTTAGCCCTCACTTTCTGCTAAGCTCCCTATTTTAACTTCACTAGGGTTGTTCTACTTTGAAGAAGTTATTTGCAGACACGTTCTAGTACTTCTAGGCAGTAAGTTCTGAAATTGTTATTCCTTTTTTAAACTCTGCAGCAACTAGCTGAGTGCCTCATACATGTTAGAAAAAATCAGTAAATGTTGGTAAAAAAAAATATGAATGAATAAATGAGGGCATAAACCCCTATTCCAAAAATCTTAGTAAAAGAAAATAAGTCTTTGGCAATGTAGGAAAAAATCTATTTCTGGAGACAGTGATGCTTTTATTAGACCAAATACAAAGGAGGATGAGAAGCTAGGAAGGAAATGGATCCAAAATATGGATAGAAAGGAATATCACTAGAGAGTGTGGAGGAGGGCACCCGCTGGTTAGAACTGAGAGGGAAGAATAAGAGGAGAAAAGTGGCTGGGTACAGTGGCTCAAGCCTGTAATCCCAGCACTTTGGGAGGCTGAGGCAGGCAGAACATGAGATCAGGAGTTCAAGACCAGCCTGGCCAACATAGTGAAATCCTGTCTCTACTAAACATACAAAAATTAGCCAGGTGTGGTGGCGCCTGCCTGTAATCCCAGCCACTCAGGAGGCTGAGGCAGGAGAATTGCTTGAACCTGGGAGGCGGAGGTTGCAGTGAGCCAAGATTGCACCACTGCACTCTAGCCTGGGTGACAAAGTGAGACTCTATCTCAAAAAAAAAAAAAAAAGAAGAGAAAAGCAGGCAAAATGTGTTAGGTAAGGGGGAAAGGTAAGATCATTTGAAAGCTCATGGAGAAAAGGTCTCACATTTGCACAACAGGCCAAAAGCCTTTGAGCGGAGTTTCCCAGATAGCATCTAAAAGATGCAGTCTCTCTACTGGCCAAATTGGGCATTACCTGCTGTGCCTCACTTACCTGGCCACTGGCCGCTTGTTATCTCTCTGTCAACCAACCAGGGCTCCTTCCCTTGCTCCAAGTAGGAGATCACATTTGGTTTAGAAATAGAATGCCCTGCTTACAAAAGAAGTAACAAAACAAATTTATCATGAGAATATCCTAGAATTCAAATCCACTCCCTTCATTATAAAGACAGACATGATATGAGGAGAGTCAAAGAAAGGTACAGTGGACTTATGAACAGAAGATGTAAAACATCCCCCAAAACTCAATGCAGCTTCCTTTTTCCAACTCTGCAATATTCAGAACATTCCTGTGAGAACAGGATGTTGAAATTCAACTGGTTTTGAAAAGGCAGGTGAGCATTTCACATTGGAGGAAGTAGACCTTCCAAGGGCAGAATCTAAATTACTATGGACAGATGTCCTTACCCATTGAAACCAGGTTGCTGTAATTCTCCAGCATCACATCTCTGTATAAATCTCTCTGATCATCATTCAGGCATTCCCACTCCTCCTGAGAGAAGTCTATGGACACATCACTGAACATCACTGACTCCTGGAACAATAACCATTTATATGACCTGATTAATCAAAAAAAGTATTCTTTGTGAAGGAAAGAGAGACGAAAAAGATTAAGGTAGAGGAAGTAAAATATACTGAGCATATGGATGTCTGGGACGCAGTGGAGGATTATAAGCAAATAAGCACAACTGAATCACTGTATTCCCGTGTCATTCTGTTTCCTCCAAATGAAACTGCCTGAATATGGTAGGATACCTCCATTCCTCAAACAAGATTGGGAACGTACAAAAATTCAGCTAAGAGGGCTTTCCCAATTAAATGAAATTGTATATGCAATGCCTCGCACTATACCTGTCATATAATAAATCAACGATATGTGTGATCTTCTTTCTGCCCCTCTTTTCCCAAATAGCTGAGAGTCAAATTTCAGAATAAGGGATAAAGGCAAGACATTAAAAGCCTCCAAAGAGAAGAGCAGGTCATATAAAAGGCATCAAAAATTAGAAGGGCAATGGAATTCTCAAGAACACCTCTAAAAGTGAGAAATGGTAAGAACAATTCTTCAATATTCTGATGGAGAAAATAAACGCTGACCTAGGCTTTCATAACCAAACTATCATTCTGTTTTGAGTGTTGAGAAAAGACATTTGTAGACATCCAAGGACTCAACAGTTTCTTCGGAAACTTCTAGAGAATGTGCTCCACAAAAACAAGGGAGTAAACAAAAAAAGAAGACAACACAGGATTCAGGAGGTAAAGTCTCAGGAAAGCTGTGCAGCCGGCCTAGAGAGGAAACTAGACCAGATGGGAACAAAGAAACATGAAATGGGGAAGCATGTCTCTACATCAAAAGGAACTATGTGTCTGACCAAAGGGAAACATATTAATTGGCAGTGATGCTGGACATTCTGGATATAAACACAGAAATTACTAAGCAAATGGGGGAGAAAGCAGTTAACCCCAGGAAAATGAAGGGTTTTGCAGAACAAAGCCATGAGCTCGCTTGGCAGAGAATAATATTTGCAGCCATAATAAGGTGTATACTATCGATTTAACCAAAAATGGTGATATGATAACCATCAGGAAAAATGATGGTTATTGCGGTATGGGAATACAATGTTCCTTTTAACTTTGCAGTCAATCAAGAGATAATGACTAAAGTGAGTTTATCAAAAAATGGTAATTAACCAGTTTTCAAGAGTTGAGGGCAGTGGCCTCTTGGAGTGGGACTGGTGATGGGGCAAAACCAGAACTGAACTACTTCCCTTGTAGACATGTATAAAATTACTTTTTAAAATATTGTACCTTAGAAAATTATATTTGCATATACTTTAAGACTCTGACTCATTCCTATGCCAGACTCTTATATAATAAGAAATGTTCCTTGTTATAACAAATGCTATTCATAAGTATATGTTTCTCACTGAATAATATTCTATTATAAGGCTATAAAAGACATCTATTCTTTTGCCTTTAATATTCAGGCTGGAGGTGATCTTTAAAGACCTCCCCAACACTGGCCCAATCTTATTTATAGCCACCTACTGCCCAGCGGTAAATTCCCCTTATAACTAAGTGACAGAAAACTGGTGAAGGACGATTCAGTTTCACTGTTGACATTACTGACATTATTGTTTTTGTTTTTAAACAGGGTCTTCCTTTGTCACCCAGGCTGAAGTGCAGTGGTATGATCACATCTCACTGCAACCATCACTTCCTGGGAGCAAGTGATCCTTCCACCTCAGCCTCCTGAGTAGCTGGGACTACAGGCATGCACTATCATGCCTGGCTGATTTTTGTATTTTTTTTAGAGACAGGGTTTTGCCATGTTGCCCAAGCTGGCTGCCGGGATTCAAGCAAACCACTAACCTAGCCTCCCAAAATGCTGGAATTACAGGTGTGCATCACCACATTCGGCCACTGATTTCAATTTTTCATGGATGCTTAGTGAGGTATCAGAGCTTTGTACCAACCACTAGTCACACTTTCAGACATAAAAGGCTCATTAACCAGGAGAACATGCCATGTACTAAGACTGAAATCAAACAAAACCACAGCACGTGTTTTCCTATTGCAAAACCCAGGTCTATGGAGCTAATCAGGGCTTTTTCCTATGGGTTGCCCCTAATTTCTTATTTTCTTCCCATCAAATCACTGTCTAAGCAAGTTAGATTCATTAATTCAACGTGGGGAACACATTTCAATACTATCAGGATTTCTGGTAAAAGTCTGAGATAGGTGATGCTCAAGGACTTTGTAAATGAGTATGTAAACATTGTCTAAAAGTGGGGTGGGGCAGGGTAGCTGGGCATGGTGGCTCACACCTGTAATGCCAGCACTTTGGGAGGCCAAGGCAGGTGGATCATGAGGTTAAGAGACCGAGACCATCTTAGCCAATACGGTGAAAACCCATCTTTACTAAAAAAAACATTAGCTGGGCATAGTGGTGTGTGCCTGTAATCCCAGCTACTTGGGAGGCTGAGGCATGAGAATTGCATGAACTCGGGAGGCAGAGGTTGCAGTGAGCCGAGATTGCCACTGCACTCCAGCCTGGGCAACAGAGTGAGACTCTATCTCAAAAAAAAAAAAAAAAAAAAGGCAGGGGGAACTGGAGAGGAGACCAGTTGTTTAGGAAGAAATGCATGTGCTATTCCTGAAAGAGGACCCTGGAAAACAGCGTAAAAAAATTATCCCCAACCTGATCTGAGTCAGACCATTATTACTGACATAATTCTTAATCTTTTTATGGAAAGAAGTTAAGTATTCTTTTTTTTTAAAGATGGGGTTTCACCATGATGGCCAGGCTGGTTTTGAACTCCTGACCTCAGGTGATCCACCCACCTTGGCCTCCCAAAGTGCTAGGATTACAGGCCTGAGCCACTGTGCCTGGCCTAGAAGTAAGTATTCTTGATGAAATTGATAGGTGAGTTTCTGATGGACATTAATCTAATTAAAACTTCTTCAGAGAAATTTGTTATTCAACCACTTGGCTGACTAATAATTAACTGTGAGTTAAGAATATAAATTTTTGGCTGGGCTTGGTGGCTCATGCCACCACGTGTGTAATCCCAAAGTGTAATCCCAGCACTTTGGGAGGCTGAGGTGGGCAGATCACTTGAGGTCAGGAGTTCAACACCAGCCTAGACAACATGGCAAAACCCCTTCTCTACTAAAAATACAAAAATTAGCTGGGTGTGGTGGCATACACCTGTAATACCAGCTACTGAGAAGGCTGAGGCAGGAGAATTGCTTGAACCCAGGAGGCAGAGGTTGCAGTGAGCTAAGATCGAACCACTGCACTCCAGCCTGGAAGACAGACACTCCATCTTAAAAAAAAAGGAAAGAAGGCCGGGCGCGGTGGCTCAAGCCTGTAATCCCAGCACTTTGGGAGGCCGAGGCAGGTGGATCACGAGGTCAAGAGATCGAGACCATCCTGGTCAACATGGTGAAACCCCGTCTCTACTAAAAATACAAAAAATTAGCTGGGCAAGGTGGTGCATGCCTGTAATCCCAGCTACTCAGGAGGCTGAGGCAGGAGAATGGCCTGAACCCAGGAGGCGGAGGTTGCGGTGAGCCGAGATCGCGCCATTGCACTCCAGCCTGGGTAAAATGAGTGAAACTCCGTCTCAAAAAAAAAAAAAGGAAAGAAAAGGAAAAAAAAAGGTAAATTTTCTAACAATGATTATCTAATCAGTTCTTTCTTTTCTAAGAATTGGCCTGTTAGAGATCCTTTCCTTTACAGCAAAATTCTGGCATTGCTTATAACCAAACCTTTTGAAAGGTGTTTTTCTTTCTAACATCAAAAAGCATCATAATGAGGAAAGCAAATGTTTACAGATACCAGAGGTAAAAATCACCCTATCTGAGCAAAAGGAAACAGTATCTCACCTGAGCCATGGCTTTGATATTTGCAGAAAAGGACCTTCTCTTGGCTCTTCTTTTGAAAAGGGTAGAGCTGGAAGAGGCAAAAGAAGATAGATAAGACCCTACTTTCCTCACAGCTCCCGGCCCAGAAGATCATTTCCCCTCTGTTCATGCTTTAGAAACACTTATGGGGTGTCAATGAGGAGAATGGGCAAATCTCTTTATCATCCCTAGGTTCAAAGATACCAGGCAATTACTGGAGCAGGATGGATTAGGGCAACTCCATATGGCTAGGAGAAAACATGTTTGTATACACACACATGCACACATATAAAGATTTTCTTTTAACTCAAATTATGTTATACACGCTTCTTACACACATTGCTATTTTTACTTAATATATCCTGGAATGAGGTCCCAATTAGTACGTATTGTGCTACGTAACTGGCTTAATAGCGACGCTGTAGTCCATTAAATGGATATAACTTAATTTATTTAACCAATCTGTGGCCAATCATCATTTGAGCTTTATCTAGTTTTTCACTGTAATAAACAATGCTGCAATAAATATCCTTGTGCATATGTCATTTTACCTGTATATGAATTCTTAACAATTAATTCCTAAAATTATAATTGTTCAAAGATTATATACATCTGAAATATGGATATGCCTGGGCTAAACCAGTATTCAGTGGGCTTGGATTGTATAATTGGGTTGCAAGTCCTAAGCAAAAACAACTTGCTTGCTTAGTTTGAGAAGACTTTTGGGGTTAATGGGTCTTCACTTAAGATAACTGAAACCCAGAAAATAAAAAATACTACTGAAACCTTAGGAAGATTCTAAAATTAATAATAGTAACAATAGGAAGGAATTTAAAAGTATAAAATGATGTACAAATAGACTAAACTCACATCACTGATGTTTTAGAATAGCTTCTAAGTGTAAGTGTAGTAATACAACTTATAACAATTGTGTGTATTCTTTTTTTGAGACAGAATCTCACTCTGTCACCCAGGCTGGAGTGCAGCCATGCAATCTCCGCTCACCGCCACCTCCACCTCCGCCTCCCAGGTTCCTGTGATTCTTCTGTCTCAGCCTCGCGAGTGGTTGAGATTACAGGTGTGTGCCACCACACCTGGCTAACTTTCGTATTTGTAGCAGAGATGGGGTTTCACCATGTTGGCCAGGCTGGTCTCCAACTCCTGGCCTCAAGTGGTCTGCCTGCTTTGCCCTCCCAGGGTCCTGGGATTACAGGTGTGAGCCCCTCCACCACCTGGCCAATTGTGTATATTCTTTTTTTTTCTTTTTGAGACGGAGTCTTGCTCTATCACCCAGCCTGGAGTGCAATGGCGCGATCTTGGCTCACTGCAACCTCTGCCTTCCAGGTTCTAGCTATTCTCCTGCCTCTGCGTCCAAGTAGCTGGGACTGCAGGTGCCTGCCACCACACCCAGCTAATTTTTGTGTTTTTAGTAGAGATGGGGTTTCACCATGTTGGCCAGTCTGGTCTGAAACTCCTGACCTCAGGTGATCCACCCGCCTTGTCTTCCCAAAGTGCTGGGATTACAGGTGTGAGTCACTACACTCAGTCTTGTGTGTAATTTTTATAAACATCTTCACTTTAAGATGGTAAAGTGCCCAAAAGAATAAGTTATACTAAAATACTAAAAGAAGACTAAATTGTTTAAGGGAAGAACTGAATTAGTGATCAATGTTTCAATGTTTAAGAAAATTTTGATGGCCCGGCGTGGTGGCTCACGCCTGTAATCCAAGCACTTTGGAGGCCAAGGCGGGCGGATCACCTGAGGTTGGGAGTTGAAGACCAGCCTGACCAACATGGTGAAACCCTGTCTTTTTTTTAAAAAAAGAAAATTTTGGCGTTTTGCTTATTATATACAAGAATTTGATAAACTTAAAATTATACAAACTATAAACAGCAGTGAATATTATTCTCTATGCACCAAGCTTTTTGTTCATTAAACAATTCATCAATTATTTCATGTAAAACTGACCACCCAGAAAGTAGCACCATGTTATCAATTATCTAATGGCTTCCTCTACCTGTAAGCACTCACTGCATTTCCCCAGATGAAAACCAAAGTAATCTAAGTGTCTCTTCCTTAAAATCTGAATGCATCTTTTGATATTATTATTACTATTACATATTAAGCTCTTAGTATTCTTTTATCAACCAAATAGCCTATGATATACAATGGCCAGGCATTGTACTAGATACTAAAGAGTCAAAAATAATCCAGAAAGATCTGGAAACAGAGTTCCTTCTCCTGTATTCCTCATTTTGAGCCCATCTTTCTGGTCTCTCCTCCTGGCCTTCCTCTGGTTAAAGGGATGTTTTCAAATGCTGTACCTTCCAAGCAGAATGGCATAAAACATTCCCACTTTAACATCTCCATACCATGCTTGTTGCATTCTCAACACTCCTCCCCTTTGTCCTGGAGGGCAGCCATCTAGGCTGAATTTTTGCATCGGAAGATCTGCTCCTCTCTTTTAAATTCAGCCCTCATTAATTTAAAAAAAAAAAAAAAAAAAAAAAAAAAGGCTTACGCAATAAGAAAGAAAACTTCCTCAACTCAATGAGCAGCATCTACTAAATACCTACTGTTAGGAAAGACAGTCACTGTAGGTCTCTTACACTCTTACATGTCTGGCTGGGTATGCCTAGAATGCAAGTCTCTAACTACAATTTATTTTATTTATTTTTTTTTAATTTATTTTTTATTTATTTATTT